AAAAAAAAAAAAAAACCTCCATATAGTGATTGGCAGGGTAATATCCTGGATGTATAATGAGAAACATATTATTAATATTTGTGAAAAAAATTGAAGGAACTCCCTGAAAGAAATCTATATAATATAATATAATATAATATAATATAATATAATATAATATAATATAATATAACTGGTTTGCATTTTAAAATTCTCTAAGCTATTTGGGTTCAGACCCGATAAGTATAAAAAAAAGTCCCAATGTCCTTAAATGAGACGACAATAAAGTCCCAATGTCTTCGAACGAGTACTTCCTTGTCTTAGCTTCTTACTGTTGCTAAGATTGGTCAAATTAGTTGCCATATCAAACTACGAACATTGTTAATCACAAGTAAACACGTTTCAAGTGTCAGGGATCGGCTGCAGACTGATTTGGCTGCCATCTTGTTTTTACATGGATTAGTGTGTTGTGGTCTTACTACCACTAGACTGCTCAAAAAAAGGGTCCCCAAACAAGGATAACAAGTCTGAGTTAAGTAGAATGAAGTGTACGGTAAAGTAAACCCAAAATGTGATTTTGTTGGCTATACATTTTTAACTTCTCCAGGCTGTTTGGGACCCGATAAATCTAAAAAAAACTAAACATTGTCAATGATAATAAAGTCCCAACATCCTCACACAAGACAACAGTAAAGTCCAAGTGTCCTCAAACGACTACTTCCTAGCTGACCGTGTCGTAGCTTGTTACTGTTGCTAAAATTGGTCAAATGTGTTGCCATATCAAACTGCAAACATTAATCATAAATAAACAAGTTTCAACCATTAAATGTGATCAGGTTTTGGACCTTTTGTGTCAAGATCGGCTGCAGACTGACTTGGCATACGTAGCTGCCATCTTGTTTTTACATGGATTAGTGTGTGGTCTTACTACCACTAGATGGCACAGAAAAGTGTCCATGAACAAGGACAACAGGTCTATGTTAAGCAGAATTAAACTAAGGGCAAGTAAACCCAAAATGTGATGTCCTTGTGACGTCCTCATATGAGGACACAGGGTCTCCTGAGGATATAATATAAAAATAAAATAAAATAAAATATCATATTTCTTTATTGTGTTTTTATTTTTATTTAACCTTCATTTTAACCACAAAAACCTCTTTAGACAAAAAAAAAAAATCTCTTTTTCAAGAGCGTCCTGGCCAAGGCAGGCAGCAACATAAGTTACACACACACAACATAGAACAAAAATACAGAATAAAAAATGTCAAGCTCTGAAACAAGCAATATAAAACACAAAATAAGATTACTACAAAAAAGCCATAAAGTATGTTAATATATACTAGAAATGAACCATTAAAAAAATGCAAAAACAACAACTGCACATGAATACAGAGACCAGCTAAGACACACTATTATATGTGAGTTCTAGTTATAGTAGGCCTGCCATTGACAGCTGTAGCACTTTCATCAACATATGGAGTAAATTCAAAGCATATGGCCAACTTAATGCATCATTTTTATACTTTAATTTGTATTCTCGTTATATGTCAAAACAAATAATATAAAGTACACTGCTTTCAGCCATCACATTTACATCACAATTATTGAAAAGTAGGGACTTCTTCCTTTGTGTAGCACTAAAGAATTTGCTTATCAATATATTTTAAAGAATATAACAACAGAAAGGAAGGGAGAGGAAGAAAAGAAGAGGAGGTGAAGGTTAAGATGGTGGAGGCAACCATTGACACAAACCAGCAGCCATTTCCATATTCTACACATGTACATCATCCACTTTATCCATCATGTAACAGATAATTTCTCAGTATTAAAGTAAGTTTTCCATCTCATAAATCTCTGTTATAGATTAAAGCAGGGCTGGGTGATCAGGAGAAAATCAAATATCACAACATTTTTGACCAAATACCTTGGTGTCGATAATGCGATGATATTGAAGGGTTGACTATTGGTGCTTTCACAAAATATTTACCCAATGAGATTTTTGATAAATAATCAGCAGTAATGTGGATATATTGAGTTAGTAAGAGCAAATAAAGGAACAGCTAGAACAGTTTGGTAACTTCTCCTTGGTGTTATATCGTCCAAGATGGATGAGAGTTGAAATGTCTTCAAGAAACTCAAGCAAGTCCAGTTGCCTCTGATATAGCACCAATGATTACCATGACCTGAATGGTTGAGGATCTCTACCAACAGTCTGGTAAGCTCGGAAAAATTACATCATTTTACTGTAATACCATCTTTATAACCAGGAAAAGATATCAAACAGTGCATATAACAGCCTGACAATGTCCATATTCAGTAATGATTACTTTTACTCTTGATATTTAAATACATTTAGCTTCTAATGCATCTGTACTTAAATGAAGAGCATCAGATGGTTTTAATTTGTAACTGATTATTTTCACATCAAGTAATTACTTCTGTCAAATCTGATGATTACATAAGGACACAATATTTGAGGGTTTGTCTTGAGTCTACCTTTTACCACTTCTATACAAAATTTCAAATAAATTAATTAATAAATTGTTGATATCAGACTATTCTTCTGTATGCCAGTATGTCTGTGGCCTGTAATGGACTTTTTTTGGGTCCATTGGCCCTCTTGACCCCATATGTCACACATCACGCCACTGTACAAACTCAAACATTTGTCATCCTCTAAAACATTTTGATGTTCTGCTGCTACATAACTGATAATTTAATTATTAAGCGCTCATCCAAGGACTCCTAATATCACGTCACACTATACCAAGCAGCACAGAGGGAAATATTTAATACCTTTCCTGAGAAAAATCCATTATCTCAAAGGTTAGTCTTAATTATGTGTGTTGTGGTCTGAGTTGTCCTCTTGGTGAGAAAATTATTTCAGTCACAACATAATAAAAACATTTAAGCTCCCATGGTGGATTTTATTTTCTCAGAAAGATAATGCAATGACTTCCACGTACTTGGAGAAACGTCTGCAGCGTTGTACGAGACAACTGCTGCCTGCGCAAACAGCTCAAACAGATGTTAAGTGTCTTGCATTGGGACTGTCTCCTGGAATTCTCCTCGACTCTCCCTCATAGTCCTTCCTAGAACTTCTGTGAACATGCAACTCCTAACTGGTAATCTAAACTCTGAGAAGAATCACTTCACGGGGCCGTAAAAACCCAATTTATTGATTGTGCAATTGCATTTGACACTTTAGGATGTTTAAGAGTGAAACACTGCACCCTGGAAACAACACAGACATCATGTTAGAGGCAGAGTCAGCTATGTTACCTACAAGGTAAAAACTCCTGGGCTGTTGAATTGCACAACCAAAACATAAGATATATCATTTGTAAGTGTAGAAACTATATTATTCCAGCATGAGTTGTTAAATTACAATATATGGAGTGCACTGTGTGCTTTGAGAGTTTGACCCACCATTTAATACACAGTCAGGCAGGGTTCAAGGTGCACTGCCCTCCGTTTGACTAAGTCCACAAGCTTCTGTCCAATCACATTAGTCACTGTGTTCTCAGCGATATTTGCATGACCCCAATCACACATAGCAAGATTAGCTCAAGGGTCAAAGTTTCTGTTTAATAATCTGCCTATGCTTCACATCCCTCTCTCCTACCACTGTTATTCAGACGTGGGCCAGGCCCTATCATAAAACGTTCCTCATTTAGCTATTAAATTACAACATATACGGTTATTTATGTTATTTAATGCTCATATAAAGATTTTACATGTGTTGTGCTTTTATTACCCTGGACACACCAGTATCAAAACACAGCTGCAAACATTATATGGAGGAATGACTCTATATTTATCATTTACTCACTGGTTGGCTTTCTCTTTCATTTTATATCTTTTTCACTATCAACCCTCTGTGTATTTGCAGCTGAAATATTTCTGGGTCCCAAGGGCAAGCACATTCCTTCACTCACAGTTGTGTAATCCCTGACAATCACAGTTCCCCCATCCCCCATCCCCCCTCTGCCTCCCTAAACGCCCACAATGCTCAGAGAGGCAAGCTGTCCAAGCTGTCTGGGCAATGTTCTGTGGTGAAAGGCTGCCCTGCTACCACACCAGTAAACAAACCCTGAGCCCTGACTCTGCAGAAAACAACCACAAATGATGTAAACTCAAGAGGGTGGAAATATATACCGGTATTGCAACTTTTTCATCCTGTATTGTGTTTGAAAATAACTGTGAGGTGTGTCATCAATGTGGGGCGCTTAACCACACACACACAAACACACACACACACACACACACACACACACACACACACACACACACACACAAGCACAAAGAAATGGCTGGAGTGCTATTTTTAAAAGTTCAAAAGCGAAGATGGCATATTTTTGTGCATTTGGTGTCGTAAAAATACTCCCTTCTGTTTGTACAAGAACATTTTGATGATACCTCAACTTTAAAATCTTGTAAATGGTTTATATTAAATTATTTTTAAATAAAACCTTTAGTTGCAAAAGCTTATGTGATGAATCTGAATCTGAGTGATGTTAAGTGTCAGAATAAACTATTTTAAGTGTTTGTAATCCTTACCCATAATCATAGTTTGTTGAAAATCTGATTTGGATGAAACTTTGAACAAACAAAAAATAAACAAAATAAAAAACAACAACCAACCAAAAAAACAATGAAAAAAAAAACAAAACAATCAAACAAAAAACTAACACACAGACAACATTTTAAAATTATTCAGTAGACAAATAATAATTTATGGCGAATACATCTATCAAAAATCTTTTAAACAAGGGTATGAATTGGCAACTTTAGGTTCGTGTATATTAAAATTACCAAGCAGCATCATGAGGTTTATCATAAACGTATTTAAAACAAACTTCTATCCGCTACAGAGAATAACAGGATGGTCAGTTTCCTTCTCATGATCCAAAGTACGATTTAACAGGAGACTGCGCGGGAGGACGCTGGTTCTTGTAGTGCCATATAGCCTTCCATTAGCTCTAAATGTAGCGACGAAAACTACATTCCCCACCATGCAACGCAGCTTATCGTAGATTTCCACTTCCTGTTAGCTCTGGGAATATAGCGGACGAGCGGTCGAAGAAATTACTGATGTATTTATGTAAAATTGTCGCATAATTGTTCAGGAACGTGCTATTCTGGAGCCTCTCAGGTCCATATTTTGGAGACGACAATGGTAAATATGTCAAACATGAACATTGTTCTGTTTTCTTCTCATAATAGCAGCGTAATCCTGCTAGCAATTGAAAGATACCGTAGAAAACGTTAGCTAGCTAGTAAGTTGGCAAATTTTCCTTAGCAGGCTAAGGCCGTAGGTCTGTAGTCACGATGTTTTATCACATATACTGACCACTACTTAGTTTTAATAGATTACCAGGAAATCATTTTGACTTCGTTTGAGGTCTTGCACAATCATGCTGTCAAAATAAATGGGTGTGGTTTAGCAACCGCTAGCTTATACCCTAGCTCAAGCTAACGCTAGCAGTGTTTATCTAGCTACAGTTAGCTAACTGTAGGGGAATATTGAACTTTATTCAGATGAACATTGCTATATATTAATATCATAATGATAATGTGAAATTGTAATAGAGAGACAGCTAAAAGCCAACAAATAAACATTAGATAGTCATGTCTGATCAATGAATTGTTTTTCTCTAGTCACATAACATGAGACATATTCACAGTTTCTCATTTTGCCTCTCTATTCTTCTTTTTTTTTATTAATTGTATCGCATAGATCCGCTTCATCCTGATCCAGAACCGAGCAGGGAAGACACGACTGGCCAAATGGTACATGCAGTTTGACGATGATGAGAAACAGAAGTTGATTGAGGAAGTTCATGCTGTGGTAACTGTCAGGGATGCCAAGCACACCAACTTTGTGGAGGTAAGGGTTTAGTCAGGATCATGCGTGCATGGTTGTGTGGATCTGTGCTATGTTACTTTGTTCTGTTGAACCAGAACCTTTTTTTTTTTTCCTACATCCTATCAAGAGCCACAGTTAAATGACCAAAACCACACTGTCGTTAAAAAGCTCTGTCATGGCTACTTCACTGTAAGATAATTGGGTGACTCATGTGTCTCCCAAATTATAAGCATTTTCCACTAGCTACTTTAACAAAACATAAAATAATTTTCAGACATTTTGAAGCAGTGTGGAAAAAGAAATATACTGAAATACACTGTCAAAAGAAAAATAAAAGTCCTGTTTTGTTTTGCATTTTGTTCCATTTTGTTAATTCATTAGAAATATACGGGATGTGTTTTACTGTAAACACAGGAAGCTTAAGTCCAAGTAAAGCTGCTGCTGTTATCATAATATGAGAGACCAAGTTGTTAAGATGCCTCGTATGTGTTTTTCTCACAGTTCAGGAACTTCAAGATCATTTACCGGCGTTATGCTGGTCTGTACTTCTGTATTTGTGTGGACGTGACTGATAACAACTTGGCATACCTCGAGGGAATTCACAACTTTGTAGAGGTAACTGACATGCACAGCACATGACATAGAGGCTTTGGAAGTATGATGATTTACTTCACATGGTCTGATTGTTTTCAGGAATGTCTGTCAATGATTTCTTGTAAAAAATCCCCCCTCCGTTATTGTCCAGCAGCTCCTTAATATCAAAGCTACATTCTTGAGGAGAGTAAGGACTGCAGTCAAATGACATTTAGTGGAAAGAACTAACTGTTTTGCACCTTGCAGAGACACATGAGGTGTTTTTCACACTGAGCGTATTATTCTCCAATGGTATCTACATCACTATGATAAATATCATATAAAGTTTCATCCTCAACAGAATATGGATTATGAGATTATCGCAACAACAACAGATGAGTTCAACCACTGAGCACTACAGTCTATTTCAGTGCAAATTAATAAAATCAAATTCATTTTACACTATGCTCACGTTGTGGTCTTACTGGCTTTCATCAGTGTTAGATAATGCTCGGTCAAGTGATGGTGGAAATAAGCCCTCAGCAATAAAATAACAAATTGATCACTAATTACAAACTGAGTCAGACTGCATGGTCGTTGTGCTAACACTGAGATGGCTACAGCAATGATACAGCAATTTCAGACTTGGGAACTAATCCTTTTATAATGTGCAAGCATTTTGGTTGGATAAAAACTTTGCAGTTTTCTTGTAATGTCGGTGCCAGCTCCTGTGGGACCTCCTTAAGCACGGTGTCCTCCTGTCAGTTGGCTCATAAAGTGCTTCTGCAGCAAACTAAACACAACTACAAACTTTATTTCAGTGTTTTCAGCCATTCATCATTTCAGATGTTGCTTGACAGCAGATCTACCAATAATTAAATTTGATTCTGGGTGATTTTTTCTATTTAAGAAGTAGTAAATATTGCATGATTGCAAATATTGAGTAAGTTGTTCATCAGCATATGGCAGTAAAGAAATATAAGCTATAATGTAATTAACTGTGAAAGCTTAATTATTTCAGTTCATAGATTAAATGTTTAATTCAAACGTAACCTACTTAAAGGAGTGTAAATGGAGTTCAGTGAAGTGAATCAGTGAAGCTACGTCCATAAGTATATTATCTTCAATTAAACATTTATAACAAGCAAATAAATTAAAGTTGTAAAGACTTCCATATTTTGATGCAGGGCTTTTTTATGGTTTCCTTTGTGAACTGAGTCACAAGGCTCAATATGTTTAATGTGTATTAGTAGGAATGTCGACACCAAAGACCTATGATGATGTTTTTTTGATGAAAAATGAGACTTCTAGTGCTCCATTCAGGAGCTGTGTGGCCTTGAACGCCTGCATTTATCATTGCGTCTGTCGTAATTTGTCCTTCACATAACTGCAGTGTATCACTACTTGCCACCACAGTATACCGTACACTGAATGTGGTACTTGATATCATCACGCTGGATTTGTGTCTGTAGCAGAGTTTTTCATACAGCATAAATCCATGATATAAATTTCATACTTACACAACAAGTTTCCCCTACAGCTCTGATAATGTCACAAGATTTTAGAGCTCCTTCCTGCATAAAATGTGTACACCACCCAGACATCTTTGCTTAGACAGAAATATCTGAAAAAAATCCTCCCAGAATTTATATTTTGGAATAATTATCTTTGTCAGGCAGCTGCCTTTTTAGACAATCATGCAAGCAGTCCATATGGGATACTTTTGTTATTTGTAAAATGGTGGTTATCCATTTGAAACACAACTCCCTTAGTCAGCTAATTATTTTTTTATTAAATCAATGACTTAATCAGCATAACTGGCTATGTTTATAGTAAATCTTGGTGATTAAGTGGAGGCATTAGGCAGCTTAAGTACATCTTGTCCTATCACTCAATTTGCTTAATTGTCGTTTAACAGCTTTTTCCTTTTCTAATACTTTTCAATTTTGTAAATCAACTGAAACTGTGAGCTTAAGGTACAATCTACTGTTTGTTTTTGGGTAAGACAAACAGTAGACCGTCCTCTATCTCGAGTCCTCAGGAGTGAAGGTCATTTAATGTAATGTTTGACTATGAAGGAATGCATGTGAGTGCACTCTGACGTGTACAAAGTTGTACTCTCTAAGCTTGTTGTTGCATATGGCCACATGCTCAGGGAGGAATAACCAATTTAAAATCAATGCAGCATGTTTTTGTTTAGATTATTATTTGTACAGAGATAAACCCAGTTGAAATGCACATGAGCTCACAGCAGAACATCATGGTGCTTATTTCAACATTCACTTACACAATCTATAACAAGAGGTCAGTAGTAGTGAGACGAAAACCACATTAATTTTAATTTGGTGTATTTTAGAATGGATGTCCTTGTAGTGGAAATCAGCTGATTACACGGTTGTGAATTGGATTCAGCTGCTACCACAGCGCCACTTTATTCCTATGCTAATGCATCACATTAATACTAATACCATACACCTTTATATCCTCTCACAGTAGACCGTGTGGTTATCTCCTGGCTGTTATCTGATTCAATTAAAGATTTCCTCTCTTTCCTGTCAGGTGCTGAATGAGTATTTCCACAACGTGTGTGAATTGGACCTCGTGTTCAACTTCTACAAGGTAAGAGGAGCTTGTTTTTGCTTTGGGAGATTTTCAAATAATTTTATAAACAGCGTAATAAGACAGAGTGAACAGAGGAGTACAAAAGGCAGATGAGAAAATGTTTCTTTCATTACAATGCCATGGAAATTAATATTATAGTCACACTGGGATCAGTCATTTAGTGAGATTTATTGAAATAATTTCAGTGTAGGATGGATTATGTGTTTTTATAGAAGAGATGCTGAGCAACAACTGCTACTAGTGTTCTTACTAATGACCTAGGGTGCCTAAAAGTCCACCCTCATGCTTAACTTGACGGAAGCACCACCCATGTTTGACGTTTTAAACCCAGAAACTGACAAATAAAGAGATATCAGCATTTTTAGACAGTATATAATGAACCAATTTCAACAAACCTCCCTCTCCTTCATCCACCGATGTAATGCCTCTCCAAGCCCTAAAATATTTCACAAGCTCAGCCACCCACTTCCTTCAGGTGTGTGGCAAAGAGGACTGAATCATCCCATCGTACTTGTCACGTTCATTCATGTGAGCTAATGTTAGCAGTGTATTTAGTCATCCAGTTGTTATTTTTTCATTTTGATGCCACAGAGGTAGAGTTGAGAAATAATGACCACATCCTAGATGATGACTTAGCAGTGTATGGGACAATTTTCCAGGAAACCCAAACCTTATAAGTGTCGGGAAGAAGATAATTTTACTTTGGTTTCAGGTCCAACAATGTGCATGTACTCCCATTTTAGTCCTGAGTTGCCTTAATCCTTTAATTTCCTGTCATCACAATGTTGGGCAATGTCCGCCCTCTAATGCACTGCCTGTGTCTGCTCTTCAAGGTGTACACGGTGGTGGACGAGATGTTCTTGGCGGGAGAGATCAGGGAGACCAGTCAGACCAAGGTCCTTAAGCAGCTCCTTATGCTTCAGTCGCTTGAGTAGAAAACAGACAACCACTCCTCCTACCTGCCCAGTAATCTGCCGCCCTGGCACCAAAACCAACCCATCATTTGTTCCTGTCACTCTGGAAATCCTCTTGCCTCGATGGAGCAGACTTCACTCCTCACAGAACATCAGGAAGGGGGTGGAATACATAATATTGTTTACATATGTACGTTAACCTGTCACAGCAGTTTATGTGTCGCAATATTCTGTATTTGCTGCACTTCTGATGAAGTCTCCCAGTATTAAAAGGCTGTACATTTCAACATGTTAATATTTCATACACCACCGAAGTTACAGTCAAAAACTTAAAAACCAGAGGCTGCAGAAATTAGTTATTTCATGTAGTAACCAGCTAGTCTTCACATTTATCTCTGTGCAGTGTGGAAACACTGATGTAGAGTGTGGCACTGCCCTCCTCCTCTCCTCTCCTCCTCTCCTCCCTTCATTACCCTCAACTTTCATTTAATGGCACTACTGTAACTAACAAGCACCATGTCTAAAGAGCGACCGCCTGCAACAGCCTCGCAGCCATTTCTATAAATCCATGTAAAGAAAGACTTTGCCCGTGATGTGGTATCGGACTTCTGCTCATTCTGTATTTTCACAGTACAAACTATAACTAGAAAGCCCTTTAGAGCAATTGACCCCAGCACAGCAAGTTCATAATTGAATGGAGTGTACTTAGGATGAGTGCCATTGTGACGGTGTGTTATGGCAACCTGTGCTGTGTCAGACATCCTCACGGCGGATGATGATAAACAGTGTAGGCTACGTTAGCTCAGACTGGTGCACTCTGGATGTTTAATCGTCTTCATCTCGTTTGCAAATGATCGAGATGATTTGCTGCTGCTCATTACATGTAATGGTGCTTGTTGGTCACACTTATAACACTTAAAACACAAACGCACTCAGACGGAACAAAGACCTGGAAGTAGAAGGTATATTTTACATAAAGCAGTACTGTGAAGCTTGCTTCGTATGGTGTGTGTACATACAGTGTATCTTGCGTAAGTTGAATATTGTGAAATTAACGTGCATTTCAGACAGAGTGGTTCTCACTCACTATATGCTCTGAGGAGTATTGTGTAAGATCGATAAAATCCTTTGGTATGACATATGATAAATTGGCTTTTAAATTCCTTCTTCAGGCCTCATGAACTTTGACAAAAAATCCATTTCCCTTTGCTGGACTGTAATGTTTATGAAATGACTCGTCATACTCTAATTTTAACCATATTCATTCACAGGGGTGTCAAAGGTGGTTTCAAATGTTACTGTTGTTAAACTTTTGTATTTTTTTTAATGATTGGCGATTGTGGAATATGTACTGCTTCCCTTCTTGTCCACCTGTGTGTTTGTTGATGGAAGATGTGTGTTTGTATGTACCATCTCCAACTCTACCCACATCTTTATGTCCCATTATATGTAAATAAGAAATAAACAAATGAAGTGATACATGAATATACACTGTTTCTGCCTCTCAATGGTGATTCGTTCAATTCGGGAATTTTAATAAAGTTAGGCAGTTTCCCATCAAGACTTTGTCTGATTATGTCTCAAGATGTAGAGAAAATATCCAGAACGACTACAGCTTTTTATGGATGAGGGGAAAGAAAGTTTTGCTCTTGTTTTTCTGAGCTGAGAAGTAAATCTTATTAATAAAAAAATAAATAAAATAAAATCCATGTAAAATCTTATAATAGTGATAATCTATTAAAAAAAAATAGGGGGAAATTTAATTAATTCAGAAAAACAATTAGATTTTCCCCCATTAAAAAAAATCACATCATTTTGAGAATCTTGTTAATTTAGAAATATGATAATATATGGGATTATGTTATTAATTTAGTAAAACAAGTAGATTTTTCCCCATAACATGTTCTCATAATTTTGAGATAATCTTGTTAATTCAGAAAAATAAGCACATTTTTTCCCCTTGAAAAAAAAAATTGTCACAATTTTGAGATCTTGTTAATCTAGAAAAACGATAATTGAGGAGATACATCGTTAATTCATCAAAATAAGTAATTTCCCCCCCATAAAAATTGATCATAATTGTGAGATAATCTTGTTAGTCCAGAAAAAAAAACAAGAATTTAAGAGATTCTCATTAATTTAGAAAAATGAGCAGATTTATCCCTGTGAAAACTTTATCATAATTTTAAAATAATAACCTTAATTTAGAAAACAAGAACTCAGATTATCTTGTTTATTCAGGAAAAAAAGAAAAAATAGTAGATTATTTTATTAATTCAGAAAAACAAGCAAGTTTTTTTTTCCATGAAAACTTTTCTCATAATTTTAAAATAATCTTAATTAATTTAGAAAACAAGAATTAAGATGATCTCGTTGATTCAGAAAAAAGAAAAAATTGGTAGACTCTCTTATTAATTCAGAAAAACAAGCAGATTTTTTTCCATGAAAGCTTTTCCATAATTTTGAGATAATAATCTTGTTAATTCATAGGGGGGAAAAAAAGAAGAGAGAATTTAGTAGAGTAACTCATTAATTCAGAAAACAAGCATTTTAATCCATTGAAAACTTTCTCAGAAATTTGAGATAATCTTGCTACTTCAGAGAAACAGGACTCAAGAGCCTCAGCAGATTACCTGTAATTGCACTGATCTTTAAATACCGGAGCTGGAGAATTGTCTATCCAATATTTTAGCACCATCTAGTGGTGAAACATCAGCTCTCCCACAGTAAATTATGCAATTTTGTTATGAGGTCATCTTGACAGCCTATGTAGGATCAATAAATCAGTCAATATATCCACTTCAGCTACATTAAACCACTCTAGCCGTTACTCCATCGACCCGCGAACATAAATCCAGACAATTGGACACGGAGGGCATTTACTCTTCATCTCGCGAGTCCTCTGATATCCTAACCTCACCCTCACTGCCTTTGAGAGGAATGACTCGACTTAAGAATGAAAGATGAGCAAAATGAATCAAGCGCATGGACTCTATTGTTAAATTTCAGGGTCTGTTAAGTCAGCTGTCTATAAACCTGATGTGTCATACATTATTGCTCATAGGAGAGTAGAAAACGGTTACCTCTTTTCAGGATCTGATTTACTTTAACTCCCCTCAGGCGACAAAGTGAATCCTTAAACATGAACCTACAGTCACTTAGAGACGACACAGATATCAACATGAACATCAGGAGACAGGTGAGAGGGAGTAACTGAAAAAACAAGCAGTTTACTGGGAATTGCATATTCATTACAATCAATGAGCAACACTCACCCTCAATGGACAATAGACAAATCTTATTTACAGCATAGGTTACTTGAGATGTACAGTAGTATTTTGGGTTGATTATATAACATTAGTTACAAAGCAACAACTGAGTTGGATTGCGTTCATCACATGATTGGTTTCCAGACAGGAAGTGAGAAAATGATGCTTTATCATATGGCTATTTTGACAAGTGCTTATTATGAACTGTACAATAAATACATACAGATGAATGCACGCCGACTCTGGTTCAGCAGCACCCAACCATTTAGGTGATTTGATAACTGAATAGAAATGCCAACTTTGCGAGTGTGAGCAATTAGAGTTGCTGCCGACGGCCTCCCACAGCTCAGGAAGTGAACATCCTTTCATCGCTACCTCCACGTCAGCAGCGGGCAACAGACAAAACAAAACCTCAGACAGCAGGAGTTGTCACCGCGCTACAGCAGCCTTGCCTCGTTACGGCAGAAATTTAGACTCTCAGTTGTTATTTAGTAAGAAATGATAAACATCTACAATTAAAATCTTTATTACAGTATAATGTTCAAGTAAAATAAAACAATTCTATAGTTGCAGCATATAAAACAAAACATGAAAATTCAAAAGTAAAAGTGCACTTGCAGAAGGAGACAAACTATCACACAATGCCAATATTTCATGAAAACTAAAATTTCTCTGACCATCTGTCTCTTGATGTCCTATACTATCTCATGTTTGCACGACTCGCCATCTCTTTCCCTTCAGTGTGCTGGCTCACTAGAGCTTAGGACGCATATGGTTTGTCTGGGAGGACATATGCTAACACTTGAGGAGGAGATGTTAGAAATACGTTTTGCAGGCAGTTTGTTTTGATCTCCTCTCAGCTGGGTCAGTGTGACCTGTTCTCAGTGGTTTCAGACAGAAGCAGTGCCGTTGACTCAACAGCAGGGCGGGATGTTTTTAAGTTATTAACTCGTAACCTCATTCTCCTCCGGCAGCAAACCTTGCTGTCGTTGTTGCGTGGAAAGAGGAAACCACGTTCAAGTGGAAATTCCCTGTTTCTCTCTGGGGCAACGCAGGGTCTGCTCTGAGGAGAGAACATCTGGGTTGGCTCGGCAAACTCAGTGACATTTAGTAGCGGAGCGGAGCGGCTTCTCTGCTTCAAAAAGAGAAGTGAAAACTACCTCAAAAAGTTAAAAACAGCATCCTGACTTTAATCAAGGTGCACTTACAGCCTCGCATGCTTAAAGTGACGAGCCTCTGTGAGGGAACTGTGTGGGCAGCATGAAAGTTTCCCCAAACATGGCACTGAGGCAAAACCAACTGTGGTTTCCTGTGACGTCCCTCGCGCAGAATGTGCAGCTTGAATTAAAGGGAGGTCGAAAAAATGGAGAGAGAGCCCAGCGGGAGGAGTCAAAGGCATTGTTAGTTTTACAAAGACTGACGACCCTTTCTTAACTTTATAACTATGGGTTAAATCTGATGATGTGAATTTACTGACTTTGGGAACTTTGGAGTAAAACAAAGAGCAAGAACTCTTCTTTGTGCTTTAAGTTGACCCACAGGCTCATTTATGTGGATGTACAGTGGAGTGATTGGACCATTCCCTTTGACAGCAGAGACATGGTGACTCGGAATAATATACCGTAGATCCACAATATCAAGTATATTACTAAGGCCAACACTCTATGTCATAATAGTGCATCTTAATGCAAACCAAAAAGTCAAATGACTCAACGTCACACACATCTCAGAGCAGGTAAAAGAACTGGGCTCTACATTTTAAATAACCTTAACTACACCGATAAGCTGCTTCCATTCGGATCAGTCTGCAGAAACCTTTACAAATTTACACTGTTATCTGCTTTTTAATATATCTACATGAATTCTAAACCAAAATCTGTGCACGTTGACTTCATTTTACTTTTAAGAGGACGCGTTTCGACTGTTTATCACTTAGTCACCATCAATGACAGGCTGAATTTACAATGAGTACAGTTAACTCAAACAATGGATGATAAAAAGCAAAGTGCCTTTATGAATATTAAAACTCAAAAGCGCTGACCAAACTAAACGTGCAACAGAAGTGGATAGGTTGAACGATGAATATGCACAAAACAGTTTACTGATAATTTACAAACGATGATGTGCAAACAAAGAAAGCATGTAGGTGTTACTAAAACCAGAATGAAAAGCACAGAGATAAAACAACAGCCCATACACACAACCCGTGACTCGGCTTTGTCTGGTAAGTCATTTAGAAATCTTTCTTTTCTTTTTTTTTTCTTTTTACAGAAGAAGAGTCCTCTTCTTTATGATCCCAGCATGTTCACACTGAGGGGTTTCCCTGCCCAGACACAGGGGCAAAGCTGACCCCCTCAGGTTCGGAGTAGAGAGTCTTACCAGAGGTCAGGGGTCAAGGGTTGCAGTGATCGCCATGACCACTCATCCAGGTGATCCAAGGTGTGTGAGACTGCGGAGAGGAGGGTCCCACACACCAAAAAACACCTGGAGCTGGAGAAGAGATGAGAGGGTGATGACTGACATGCTCTTATAAGAAAAGAGAAAGAGATTTCAGGTGAAGTCTCTTGTTGACGACACACTACTGACCTGTAGGGGGCGTCCCGTCTGTGTGGGCCTGTGGGCTGAGGTGAGGGTGGGGCCCCGACCCCTAGCAATTACACTGCTGCTTATTCTGTGTGGTGGTGCCTCTTGGCTGTCGCAGCTGCCTCAATGAAGCATCTCCATACTGGATACCTGAACCCATCCTCTCAGGGTCCAACTCACCTTTGAAATGAACCATAATGACAAATTCAAGCAATGCAGAAAATATTAGTGTATAGCAGACTTAACGCACATCCACAGGGCTCATGCAGTTAAGGACAGAGATTAGGGCTGGGCATTAGAACAACTAACAACTCCACAGCTCCGCCCCCTTCACTCACCCACAAGCTCTCCAGCAACACTCAGAGAGACACAGAGCTGCTACTCTTCTTAATCTGTCTGTAAATTAGTCTACAGTGCGACATCGGTCTATATGTTGCATGTGCTGCGCTGCTAGTTTGTGTGTGAGGTGGATCACAACGTGTCGCCGTTCTTCTTGGTAGCTGTAATCAATTTTGTGACTGTTTAAAAAATGCAGCGACAACACAGACGCTAAATCCGCCCTCTGCCTCTCTGTTGATGCTATGTGCATAAATAAGATTAATAGCCTAAATACATAAAAATATTTAAATCTTTTTCCAGCACTAGATTCATTTGAAAGGCCATGGAAAACGACTTTTTAACACCACCCACAAAGAACTTTAATTGTTCTAAACTAAAATGGATTTAGGCCTCTTGATACTTTTATGCTCATGTTATAGTTTTGTGTCCTGTGCTGCAAACCTTTAAACCTCTGTAGCTCCAGTGCTACATGCAAAGGCATTAATGTGCAGCCCTGCTTTTTATTTTAAATAATTTTTCATTTACATATTGTGCAGCTGTGAAAATCCCTTTCTTTCCATTTTATTTCGATCACAGTCTTTGACTTGCAACTGAACATGGAGCCCATTTTGTAAAAAATACAGATATATATTGTGTATCGCCAGTCAGCCTGTAAATACCGAGATATGAATTTTGTCCACGTCGCCCAGCCCAAACAGAGATCATAGGTAATGATAAATGAGCAGTGTACCTGAATCTATCTTGTTGAGGATGGTACGAGCGCACTTCAGGAAACCCTCCTCAACATTCTCCCCTGTCAGAGCACTGGTCTCCAGGAACATCAGCTCTGCATTGGCAAAAAAAAAAATCAAGATGGAGGAAATAAGAGTAGAAAAGTGAGAAGGAGAAACAGATGAAAGAATGGTGTGGCACAAATAATGAAACGCAAGCAGGAGACAGACTTGTATAATAATGGAGATGTGACATCAGTTACCATTCTCCTGAGCAAAGCGCGACGCTTCCAAGAAGGTCACCTCTCTGTCTGCATCCAGGTCTTTCTTGTTGCCACACAGGATAATAACAATGTTGGGGCTTGCCAGAGTCCGTGCATCTGTCAGCCAGTTAGTTAGAGCGTTGTATGTCTCCCGACTGTAAGATAGGGCAGCACAGGTGGACACATAGTGCAGTACAATTTATTGCTGGTCGTAAAGGATCCGCCTGTAACATGTTAAGCTCACATGACTCCTAGTTAGTGTGTCAGAGCATACCTTCTGAAACTAGTCTGTTTTACTACTCAGCTCACTGGGTGCATTGTGACTTAGAGCAGTCTGTTGGGCCCTGAAGACAGTCACAGAACTTTCATGGAGGTAACCCAATAGCTGAGTTGTTAGGGTGCGTGTCACATGGGTGCAAATGCTTCACGGAGTCCTCAGTCCTGTCATTCCCCAACTCTCCTGTCTCTCTTCACTATCAAATAAAGTCATAAAATGCTGGGGAACTAACCCCAGAACTTTCATGAAAACTTCTTTGGGTTGAGGCCACTGGTCACCATGGAGACAAGACCCTGGTGTCCATAGTAACACGAGGCCAGTGAGGTTAGCAGAAGGGCGTGGGTCGGCAGAGTGATGTTTAACAGCTGTTTTCACACGCAGCCAAAGAATGACGTCACTCCTCATCTACACGCAGCCACAATCTGATTCACGCCATCTCTCTTGGTTTCAGCTGCCTTCCTGCCCATCTTCCTGCTAACCTTCTCACCTGTGAAAAGTGATAAATGTCTCCATCTCTTCCTCACCTCTCCCCTCCTCACTTCACTCTGCTTTTCCGTCCCCCCACTCTCCCTGTTTTCCCCCCTCAGATGACACGTTCTGTGATGGACTTGCGCGTTCCTGCCTGCTGCTGCCTGCCAGAGGATGCCTCTATATTAGAGCTGCCGCCACTCTGCACTCCGTCTCTCCCTCCACAAAAGCCCCATACATTCTCACAAACACAAACTGTATTACATTCCTGTCTTATTTCATTACTGCGCTCGCTCTGTCTTGATTTCACAACCCCCTCTATCGCTACACAAAGCTTATGAAATACAGTCCTGTGAGTGTATTCCAGTATTCACATTATACTGTATGGGTCCCAGTACACAGTCATTAAATTGCACAATTTTTGGAGGTGCTATAGACGCATAATAGTTTTTTGTGACACCTCACGGACTGAAAACTTCAATACAGGTGCTAGTAAAAAATAAAGTGAAATACTATACACATTCATGGGTCAGTAACTTTGAATTTCAAGTCCAGCCAGATATGACTTTAACCCTTCAAGATATCATCGTTGTGAATGTCTAACTATGATGTGTTTTTTAATGATTATTTCATCATTTAATGAGGAAAAAATGCCCCACAATATGGGAAACATCATTTGTAAGTATTAATTGTGTTACACAAATTTGCAGTATAATTAATTTGTGGAAAGGTAGAAGGACAGGAAGTGTAGTGATTGTTTTACCTGGTAATATCATACACAAGGAGTGCTCCAGCTGCTCCTCTGTAGTAGCTGCGTGTCACAGAACTGTGAAGAGAATGCAGAAATCTTGATCAAGATATCATACCTTAATATCAGCCTGTGAAGATGACTGAGAAACCGTCTTTTGCTTTTAACTATTATCATCAGTCAGTCACTAAATGACTTGGATGGAGCTGCTCAGAGGTTTGAGACTGGCATCTCCACATTCCTTTTGAAGCTGGATGTTGCCCAAAGACAGCACATGTTACTTACTCGGTAATTCATGTTAACCTTGTATTTCTAAAAAGTCTGCCAAACACTTAGCGGGAAATATTTAGGCGGTTACCGGAATCGCTCCTGCCCAGCGGTGTCCCAGATCTGCAGTTTGACCGTCTTCCCGCCAACATTGACCACTCTGGAGCCAAACTCCACGCCGATGGTGTGGTTGGAGTCCTGTTTGACTGTGACAGGAACGCAGAGAGAACACAGTGAGGTAAGAGCAAGTTGTAATGTAGCCATTATGGTTTTTTTCCCAGCAATATTGCGCTCTGTTTAAACGGAAGCCATTTCAACTCTGCTCCCAGAATCGTACCTCTAATCTATAATATGTTAGCGTGTTAAACCGTTATCTTCAAACAGCTCACATCCACAGTGGAGACTAGAGGGAGTCTGGATGAGATTAACTCTGTCAACCTGCCCTCCCTTTCTCTCTTCAGTAACAGCTCAGGGACCCACCATGTCTTTAATCAAATTAATACAAGCATGTGTGTGAGTGAAACAAGTTTTAATTACAAGACATGCTTTCAACGCAGCTTTCACTCATCACCATCTTTACAGTCCTGAAGTTCAGTGAATAGTTAAAACCCTTTGTTATAACTGATACACTGAATAGCAGGTTTATTGTGGACACTGCACACATGCAGTCCAATACCCTGCAATAAATACTGACTCTGTGAAGCTTATGATGTTCAGTTATGTTGACATTGTCAGAGAGGTGTAAGCCACTGTTGGTTGGGTTGTTTGTTTTATATTTGCACTATACAGGAAGTGTAAGTTTAATGTGAAGGAATGACTCCTTACATCCAGAAATTAGTTGCATTTCTGCACTCCTGATTCCCTTGTCTTGAAGTTACTGGATTTTATGAATGGGTTTTTGATGAGATGCCCAAAATAAGGTCTGTGGTTAAGCTTAAGCAACTTTCATGTTTTGTTCTATGACATAAAATATGTCAGTAAAATAACGTTTTATTGAATTTGTAAGCCTTTACATGTCTTAAAAAAGGTGGTTGCAAACAAGTGGCTAAGCGAGACTACAGAAAGTCATCACACCAAACGTGGCTTACAGCCTCGTTGTGGTGGCGACACTGAAGTCATACAACTGCTGTGTAGTTTGTTTATAGCTTAACATTAGCTTTTATCTCTGATCACTACATTTACACTTCAAGATTAATAAAAATGTTTGTTTGTGGAGATTATCTTGCAATAAAACTCATTTTTTTAACCGAGACAAATTTAGGAATGTACTGTCTTTTATGGTCCCTAAGCCAGAGACTGGTGTCATCATATGCTACATTTTGCTGGCTCAATAATTACCTACTGTGACTTTTAGGAATCTGGATTTACGCTGTCATTTTGGTTTGATTGCACATGGAGGTCAATGAATAACTTTCTAAGGAGGAAACTCATTGAAAATTTCCACAGAGTGTAATGTCACAGCTGAGAGAGAGAGGGGGGGTTTATTTGGTGTGTGTGACATGAAACAACTCATTAAATCAACAACACTAATTGTGACCATGTCAGTTTTTGTGTGTCCGTGTAATAGTCCAATTATATTTTCACTCACATCTGATGTGACTAATGGGCTTTAATGAGGGAAGACTTACACTTGTTCTCAATGAACTGGTGGAGGAGGCAGGATTTCCCCGTCCCAGCGCTGCCAATCACCAGGAACTTAAACAGGAAGTCTGCAAGCAGAGAAAAGGAGGTAGAAATCAATGCACCACCGGCATCAGGGGAGAATCTGAACCTGCTGCTCTTTGCACTTCCATCCTCAGAGACAATCCTTAGATTTCCTCTTAATCCCGCTGAGCTCCTACTTGCACACTATCCAACAACCTGAAATTAGCCTACTAATGACAAAGCCTCACATGTAATCAGCATAACCTGCTATTTATGACTCCGATTGAATATTCTTGTTTGTGTGAGGTGGAAAATAACTGTGTCTGAAGCCTTGAAAAAGCACCAGCACTTAATAACACATGAGCAAAGCCAGAGCTTTAGAGTTATTGAACATGGCTTAGGTTAACTGACTTGTGCAGGGATTGAATGACTGCAGCCAGCTGGCTGTACAGATGTTGTTGTTGTTGTGGAGAGTGGGCCCTTGCTCTGGAGAGTACAACCCAGCCTACGCATATGATCCAGAGCCCAAATGACTCGGGCCCCTGACATGCAAGGCCATTCACTTAAAGTACAGACAGCCTTTGTGCTGTGACCAAAGATAGTATGGGGCCATTTACATACGTAGGCTGTGCTTCACTTACAACTAGATATGAAACAAAGTGGTGAAATTAAAAGTGTGTGTTTCTGTGGGATCATAACTGAGCCTGTGTTTGTGAGTAATGCATAAAAAATAGTTTAAGAATGACAGTAAATCTGAGAGTGATGGTACATCCCTCAGATTGTGTGAGCAAATGATTGCAAATGACACATTTCCTCCTGAGAGCCTGCTTCAGTTGGAATTTGAAGACAGTGTGCAATTTCGGTTTAAGCTTAAGCGCTGGCTCTGACGGTAAGAAGTGCTGCCCTGGCAAATGATTAGTGACTCCTGTTGAGATTACCAGCAAGGTGAACATAGTGTGATATTCAGCTCCACCCAATCCCAACGAAAACAGTAGTTTAGAGAAAACAGAGGAGGATATGAGATTGAGCTTTAGTTCCTGTGTGACATTTAAACTTGTTATGCTAGTGCTCTTTGAGCCACCTTCATCGGCCGACATGCACCGCTGCCAGCCGAGTTTGTGGTGCACCTTTGTTTGTTGAAGCGGGTGTTTTCTCAAGCGACACAAGCTGGAGGTCAAATTCACGGTAACAGAACTGCTTAAGCAATGTGAAGGAACCTACAAGCACTTACAGTTTCCTTCTGCAGCAGCAGTCAGCGTTACAACCACACGTTGTCAACGGTTGTGACAGCAGAATTGACAGAATCAAAAGCTAACAGCTCGGTTTTAAAAGCTTGCCTCAGCTTTTCAGTGTCTTCCCAGACATCACATATTCCCATGCGAGATCTGCATACAACAATCAAGCTGTCAATATGTCAAAGCAATTGGGAGAGAAGAATGCAGCACTGCCCTCTCAACAGCAGCCTTTCAGGCTATTGTATTCTTTACACATCAATATTAAATAACCCCGGAGGGAATGGACTAACACTGTTATCTGCATTCACTTACACTGTCACAACACTTAACATACTCAGGCCCAGATCAACATCAGGTTTGTGTCTGATGTGTCCTCTGATGTAGTGACAAAGTGCACATGGCACTTGCACCTGAAGTTACACCAGGTATTTAATTTACTGTAAGCACTTCACAAGCAAAAAGGTAAATATGGTTATATTAGATAGATATAAACATGATACATGGAGTCAGGTGTATCAAAGTCCAAAATCTTACACGAGTGTCTGAGATATCTATCTATCTATCTATCTATCTATCTCTCTCTATTCATTAGGGTTGCAACCGTATGAGACTTTCACAGTACAATATAGGGCTGCAACTAACGATTATTTTCATTGTGGACTAATCCGTCGATTATTTCTTCGATTAGTTGACTAATCATTTTATCAAAAAATGTGTTAAAATGTTGAAAAATGCCGGTCTGTCTCTCCCAAACCCCAAAATTATATCATCTAATGTCTTCTGTCATACTCACACCAAAGAGTTTTATTTCACCCTCATGGAAGAGTGTGTAAAGCTGCCAATATTTGAACGTAAGAAGCTGCAATAAGTGTATTTTATAGTACTTTTCTATGAAAAATGACTCAAACCGATTAGTCGACTACTAAAATAGTCACTGATTATTTTAATAGTCGATTAGTCATTGATTAGTCGACTAATCGTTGCAGCCCTAGTACAATAACTATCTCAGAAAATAGCGGTTTCATGGTATCACTGTATTACAAAATGATTATTATTATCAACAGTGAGAATGACCCTTAAAGAAATGAAAAGGGTTATCTGTGGCTGAACAAACATTTTATTACTATAATTCAACCTTGAAACCATTTTTAAAAATGGAAGTATGAGTAAAAGGTCTTTCTTTTATGAGATATAGTTGAGATCCTCCTTCAAGTTGCATTTTTTCCCTCAATATCGGAGATAAGCAAATGGACATGGTATGATAATCCTCAATTTTCATGTCACCTTATACCTTAAAAACATCATATTGCTGCAACCCAAATACAGGATGGACATGTTCCACTGTTTATTTCAAAACTGACTAAGCCATTAATCAAAAAGATTATTGATAGATTATCCAATAATGCAATTACATGAAATAGGCTAATCAAAATAAATAATTTCTGATACAATTAGTTGCAGCTCCAGTACCTACTCACTTATTGCCTACATGGAGCAATATGGGCTATGGAAATAGGTTAGCTCAGTTGTCCATTAACAATAACACCAGACAAAGTGTCCAGTATATGTTGTTTTTAAAAGAAGGATCCGTCAAATTCAGAATCACTCTGAAAAACTGTATTCAAAAATAAAAGTGCAAGATAATATTTTCTATTTCTACATCCTGTAAATACAAAATAAACTAATCAAAGAGTGCCATGCGGAGCAAAGTCCAAATGAATTAAAAAATATAATAATAAATTCCCACGTGGCCCATTTAACCTGGTCATGTACTTATTGTATTCATATTGCCTTTTGCCAGTTCCACTACTGGTCCTCCATGAGAGCAGACAGCACCGGAGACTGAGATAGAAATCAATAAAAGGCTATTAAAGCTACCATTAGCGCTGGCACTTTTACCTAAATACTGCCCACTGGGATAAAGTTTCATACAAGGAATGAGGGAGACAGGGTACAAGTAGAAACACAGATAGAGTGTGTGTGTGTGTGTGTGTGTGAGAGAGAGAGAGAGTGCAACAGGAGAGGATGATGGTGTGCCATTTCAAAACACTATCAGGCCTACTGTGCTGCTGATACTATCTGGGAGTCATGTTGAATTAATGTGTGCAGGATAGTCGTAAGTGTCTGACAGTAGTGCTGGTGCTCTGTGTGATGTCAGTGCTTTCAGACAGGTGCAACCATGTCTTCTGCCAGCATTAATGTGAAGTGTAGATGGTGTGAGGTGTTGACAGAAGCAAAGTTACTCAGATTCAGGATGTGATCAGATGTGGTAGAGCCCAGTGACACACTTAACCACTGCTGCTCTACAGGTAACTGGGTGATTAGACGGAGTTATCTGACTTCCTCATACAGGCCTTGTGGCTGATAAGTAAAAGCACACAGCACCTTAATGACTGCAACTTGCTTGCAGCTTGCAAGGTCACCCAATCTGCTTGTATTTCAATAAGCTCGGGTTACCCCAGCGGCTGTAAACACTCTCTTCGTGTATCGACATGCTACGGAAGCTTTGTGTCTGAAGTTTGTCCAACTTCTACCTGGAAATGTATCACCATCTGTTTGCTCAGGTTACTGACCGTTTAAGGAAGCAATACACTCCGCCATCATAAGACAGAGGTGTCAGTTAATACACACGACGTATTAAGTAGACAAGTTTCTTTGAACGAAATGTGAGCAACACACGTTGGTTATTACAATCAAAACCCACAGACATGATGAGGTGGCAGCCTACAGCTAACCTAAGCTAACCATGTAGCTAGCTAACTAGCCAGTCTGTCTCATCACACCAACCGAACAGTGTGTAACAGCTAGCAAGCGTGAAATTACAGCCTGCCGCCCCGCACAAACGTACCGTATGTCTCAGACATGTTGACCCTCGCCGTGTGAAGGACTCAACCGGGTCTGTTTCTGACTGTTCTCGTGGTGATGTGACAGCTATGTGTTCGCTGGGTTCACACCTCTTCAGGGTGTTTATCTACGATGAGATGATGATTCCTTCCTAGCCTCTTTGCTCCGACCACAACCAAACACCGCAGCTGCGTGTGACGTCAGTCGTCGTCGAGTGTTGCCTTCTCGTATTCTTGGCTGTGTAGGAATTTTGACTACAAAACGCAAATCGGTCAAATATAAGGTGTGTTTTCGTGAAATAACACAAATTTATTGAGCTGTGGTTTGTACATGGCTCACAGTTTGACCACGTGTCGGGAATTTGGTCAATATCCATGTAGCTTAAAAAGAAAATTAAATCAGATTGGCAAAATTATCACTAAATTCGCACTTGTTTTCTGTAGTTTGTGAAAAGTTGGTTCCTGTTTATTACAAACTAAATGAAAAGATACCAAAAATATTTCACTGACCAGCTGCCATTTTGTTTTGCTGTTAATTACACTTAAATTCCTAACAAGTCGTTGTTAATACCATAATTGTAGAAAGACAGTGCTCATCTAGAGACCCTGAAGGCACCATTAAATGAAACTCTCACAACCTTTGCCTGATTACCGGCATTTCTCACTGTCAGTCAAAGCAGTCTTCATTTAGACCTTATCCAGAATGAATTGATTCAGTTATTTCTATTGTAGCTAATCTAAAATGAAACATTATTAATATTGTATTTACTGTATTTACTTCTATATGTTTGTGGGTGCAACAGCATGCCACAAGGTGGCAGGCAAAGATAAAGGGACTTGAGACCAGATTTTTTCTAGAGACAGCAATGTGTAATCTGAAGCCTCGACAAGACATGACATAACATAACATAACATTTTTGCTTTATTTTATATGAATATGATTATGATTATTATGGGCTTACAAAGAGTTTGACTTGGTGATGATTTGCTGCACAACATTTAAACAAGGTGCAAAAATATGAAGACATAATACAAAAGGAAATGAAGAAATTTACAATACTATATAAGAAAAGTATACATGAGAATATGTAAACATGTAAGGTTATTAAAGAGACTGTTTTTAAAATTGTACAGTTGTGTAGGGATATGTTGAAGCTCAGTGTAAAGCAGGTAAAGGAATATGTGTGAGAGGGGTGATAGTAATGATGGTTGGTTGTATATGTAAATGTAAAGCATAATGTGAATTATTAGTATTTATTTTTTGCATTTTTTCTCTTTAAAATTATATTATGTTGCACTGTTGTTCTTCAGACATCTGCTATGGAAATTGATAGCCTACATGTTGGCTATTCTGCACTAACCCCCATATCTAGGCCAACCCCCCCCCCCCCCCCCCCCAAAAGCAATCAGTGTAAAACATGCAGTGTCAAAATCTGCGGTGCAGGGAGTTTTCTGAATAAATGTGATGTCTCTGGCAACAGATGATGACTTTCCCCTGGAAATAATTGCTCAAAGCAATGTCTTGTGAGGTTTTAGAGGAATGAGGAATGTCTGTTGTCTTGTTCTTTGCTTATTCATTCATCACCTTTCCATACCTGCATACACGTACACAAGCAGTCACTCAGAGCCCAGGGCGTGGAGTGCAGGGCCGCCCAAGGGCAACAGGTGATAAATTACAGAGCCCTCCACTCTGCTACTATCTCTCCCAGTTCCTCCCTGCCTTTGTTCTGCTTTGGCAGATCCCATCATCCTCCCCAGCCTTGTTAAAAGCTCTTTTCACTGAGATTAAAGACAGAAGGAAACACAAGGCTCAGCGTCGTGTGGGGGCACGGATGTTTTCCTAAGGTGGGCTACAAGAAAGGCTGGCGTCAAAGGTGTGCAGCGGGCGGAAAGAGAAGAGGAAGGTTTATGATTCCATTAGGTGCTCTGCTTACCTTTGTGGGTGACAGTGCTCATTGTGTCTCTCTTGTCGTCTTCCTTGTGCTCTTGCAGGTGTCATCATCAGAGGTGATATTTGTTTGAACTGCAGGGCAAACAAGGTGCTTGTGCATGTGTCTGATTGTGGGACTGCAGAGGGGCCTGCTTGATTCATCTGCAGTTAGAAACGTAAAGAAGAAAATAGCTTTAAAGGGTGGGTGGTGGGGGGAGACCTTTCATGTCCTGTCCAGGCAGTTTCAATCCAAGATCAAAACAAATGTGTTCCTGATGAGCGCACTGGGGAAGCCCCACATAAACCCCAACAACATTTACAATGTTTACAACCAACAATGAGTCATTTTCCCGAGGATAATCTGAGTGAATCACTCCTTGAGACAGGTGGGCTCTGCGGTCGGCTGGCATCGATGTAAATATAAAGGTGTCTGTCATATCATGAGTCACAGGCTATACAGTAAAGCAGAGGGATGCCTGCTGTTTTATATACAGACACAAAGGCATTCTATGAAGTAAAGGCTATTAAGACACATGGTGGTATAAACATAGCCAAGATGCTTGAATGCATTACTGAGCTGAAGCAGGTTTTTACTGTACCTGTAGAGGCGCGCTGTGACTGCAGCAAATCCCAGATCTAAAACCCAACTGTCAAAAACTGAATGAGACTCTCAGACAAATGGTTATGTGTGTTGGAGTGCAGGGGGAACAGTACAGCTCTGATTCAGACTGAGGGGGTGTATTCATCCACATACCTACTCTGCACAGTAGTGCTTGTGCAACTGTTTGTTTGCACGCTAGGGTTCAAGCTTCAGTTTCTATCCCACCTCACTGTACTTTACTCCTGCACTGCATAGGTCGGTGAAATTCCCTCGTAGGTTGCCACACATTAGAGCAGAAACCCCAGGCTATTTGAGTTAGTGTAAGTAAAGGGAATGGGAGCCTCATGCTAACAAAGGAGGACTGCAGCCTTTGAAATGAATGGAAGGAGTAAGAAAGCATCTCTTAAAGTCACACTGAGGATTACACTATAAGGAGAAAGCTCTGCCATATTAACTTCCTCTTAGCTATTCATAGTTCATGTCTCTTTCATCTTTCCATTATCAAGACAGATGTAATGTTGTCAGCTATAAATAGACCACAGCACACTATACTGCACATTATCTATGAAAATAAGAGCTTAATGGGATGCTATCTTCTCTTATCTCTGTCTTATCTTCTTGTACTGACAGCATCGTTTCATTGTGTTATCTTTTTTTCATCCATCCGCTATAACCATTTGTCCTTGATGGTTTCAGGGGGCTCTAGCCGATCACAGCTGACATTTCATTACCTCCGCCAAGGAGGTTATGTTTTCGCCTGTGTTGGTCTGTTTGTCTGCAAAATAACTCAAAAAGTTCTGAATGGATTTTGTTGAAATTTTCAGGAAAGGTTGATAATGGGACAAGGAACAGATGGTAAAATTTTGGTGGTGATCGGTTGAAGCGAAGTGGAAAAAATAATAAAATGGTGGGAAATCCGAGCTGCTTGGTGGAGGTCTGTGCTCTCCGAGTGCTTTTCTAGTTTGCTATTTTATTAAAGGGTTAGTTTGTTCTTTTTAAATGGGGCAGTTTGAGGTACTTAACTATAGTCAGTGTATTACCTACAGTAGATGATGATCAGCATGCTCCCAGTTTGGAGAAGCAGACAGGAGTACCATCACCGATGCTGTAATGTATAGCTGTGGATGGGGGTCACCTAGAAGACAGCCTACCTAAAAAGAAAATCAATGTCAGTCAAAGTGGATGCTGTATGTAGTATATTATCACCACTGTCAGATAGTCCTTTCCTTTTGCACAGCTGTTTTCACTTCTCTGTTTGACCAACCTGGAAAAGCACAAGCACAGACGATCTTTAAAATCTTTAGAAAAGTGAAGTTTCGTTTCAGTCTGACTCTGATAGCACAACAGCTGACCTTTGAAATACAGTTTGTGAGAGAATACTGAGGTGTTATGGTTAAGAAAATGTAGCACCAAAGGAAAAGGGCTGTCTGACGGTAAGGTAAAGGAGAGAAAATATCCTCAATATAGCGTCCAATCGGACTGATATTAATTTTTTCAGTTTGTTTTCTAAGTGGCTAAAATACATTTTCCTGCTGTCCTCATCCACAGCAATACATTGCCTAGCCTCTGTGGTGTTACTCTGGCTATGGATAAGTACCTCATAGAACCTAACTTCAAAAAATCCAAACTATCCCTGAACATATTTTTTCTCAGATTAACTCATCTATATTTTTCTGTAGAGATTAAACATCTCTGTGTTCTGAAACTTATTCACAGAAGAGTTAAGATATGAAAAAAGACATACTGTGTATTTTGTTCATGAGTTTGATCTTGGCTCGGTGCAAAGTACTAGTTCACTGAAGTCAGCCCTTTCCCCCATAATAAGTCACTTAAATATGCTAAAAGGCAACTTCCTTTAAGGCCACAGTAGACAGGGTTCTGTAGAGAGATGACCTAAAATAGAACTAGGACAGCACACTACCCAGAGGCCCACAGACCTATTGGTTTTCACTAAGCAGACAAGGTCATTCATAACTACAGGAGTATTTTTACTATGTGATTAATGTTACTTAGAATCTGTCAGGTGCACACAAGGAAACACAAATTCACATCTTTCAGATTTAGCAGTAAAAACGACTCCAGACTCAACTGATCCACTCATTGTAAGTTCACTCTGTAGGTGGCCGGGAAGAGGTACTGAAGTGAGACCAAGTTACAAAGGAACATAAGAATGTCAGTGATGTTCAAGGATCCAAGCAAAACCAAAACAGCACCACCCGAGGCACCTCATAACAACCACAGCTCTAGACGCCGAGGTGATGCTAAAGGGTTAATATTAAACGGAGCAAAACCTACAGTCTAGATCGAGCAGGCCAGTTGCATTGTTACATTCACACACGGCATACACTGCCTGTTGCAACAGATATTCAACACACCCTCTGCAATGAGGCGACCTTTTTAAGATGTCACAGTCCTGCCCAGCAATGAGTAGCAGCTAAAGGTACAGATTTTCTGTCTGTGTTGTTGGCAGCTTGTGTCTGTGACTCTTCCCATAGAGTTTACTCACTGCAGAAATGTTCAACAAGCTTTTGTTACTTGGGCTGACACGAAGACCATGAGTAGATCTCTTGTTTGGGTGCTTGGCAATATCACTAATTATTGTTACTCCAAATCTCCTCTGAGCTTGTTGTATTCTTCGGGGAAGTGACGGG